GGGATCTTATTGTTATTTCGATTGACATGTAAATAATTTTTATATATGGGTTAACATTCCATTAGTTCTTGTGAATTAATGAATTATACCATACTTTTTTTATTGAAAGAAAAAAAAGCTTAGAGAGTTAATAATATTGTATTTTCAAGAGGAAGCAACTCTTTTAGGGTACCAAAATTTGAATATTATTTCTGTCAATTTTGTTGTAAAAAGGTCAGTTATAAGGACCAAAAGTTTATTGCATGCTTCATACAAACATAAGATAAATTCAATATCACAAGCTTCGCCGATATTTATTCAACGTCAATAAGTTAGGTTTTGTCAGCAAAATCTATTATTCAAAAACTTCTGAGGGTTGCAACCCATGTAGAAGGAAAACAGTCAAAAGATCTATAAGTGTCCTAAGTTGCAAGAATCAGAAGTAAGGTGAGCATTGAACTGCCTTTCTATAGATTCAGTTGTTTAACAAAATAAATTAAGTGACAACTAAGATCATTCATCTGCATTGTATGGTGGAAGCATCTTTGTTAGTTCTCATCTCTGTATTCACTCTGTCAGGGCTAACATCAACCCTGCATTCCAACTGTCTCAAAGAGGCTGGAGAAGGTTGAAGTCTCAATAAGCTATGAATTTTGTCATCCCTGTGGGTGGTACTTGTTTCTTCGTCAAATTCACCACCCTCCATATATACTAAACAATTTTATCAGTTTATATAAGCATGTATTAGACATTGCTGTTTATCACAGCGACTGAGTTGATTACTCAAGGGTACCAAGTTTTATTGAAATCTCAACAAATGGCACAGAGATTTTATAGTCATTTTTTGCTGTGATCTACCTGTTTTTTATACCAGAGAATGATGGTTGCTTGTCTTTTTTACTTTTTCGCCTTACATCGATTTTTCTTTAGTTTTGACAGTAATTTGTGCTATTAGATATGCTAGCTTTTTTCTCCCTTTTCCTCAGTTTTTTCTGAAGTACTTACTTTTGACTGATGCATAAAACTTAATTTCACCTGAAGCACCATTTTATCATGAATGTTCATCATTTCTTGAATCTCTTCTAATGTATAACATTGTCTCAGATTCTGATCAAAATGATTTGGACTTCCCTGGGCAAAGTTTAAATGGAAGTTTTAGGAAACTCGCCTCTGGTATTTATTGTTTGACATCCCATATATTTGTCTAGATGATCCTCACCGTCTATCCTTCT